TCGAGACGGAGCTAAGTCCGACGCCGGAGGTGTGACGTCCGGACCTAGCGAGATGATTGTCGGAGTCGAGTCGGAACGAGAGTCGGAGAAAGTCGGAGGAAGTCGGAGCAGAGTTTCGAGATACAGAGAGTGAGTGCGAGTACGGACCAGACTCAAGCTTTAAGGCTTGAGTCGCTACGCGCTCTAAGTCCGTGTCGGAGCAGAGGAGTAACTTAGTCGATATTCGAACTAAGGAGCTAGAGTACAGGAGCTAGGAGTTTATATACGCGGAGGCACGGTTCGGAGCTCGTATCGATAAGGAGTTATCGGAACTATGAACCATGTGGAACAATCAATCGTAAAGACGGAGCATATGGTTACGAAGCTGATAATCGGAGGTAGAATAAGTCCGAAGGGAATATCAAACCGTTAAAGGCATATCGATCGTGAACGTCGGAGTTGAATCCGTTATGACTCGAGAACTACCGGGACGTTGAGTCGCCGGAGGACTATTCATGTGATAATGTAGGTCCGGTACCGGAGCTGCTACTCCGATGGCGGACAACCCGGAACGACCGGAGCTATCGTACTTGGCCTGGTTATGGCCCAAGATCCGACACGTGACAGTGACTCATTGCCCGAGAGAGTATCCGAAGACATCCCTTCACCGTCAAGTTGCATGATGTTGGAATCTGAGCGGGAGCTAGTGGATACGCCACCACCGACGTTTAGGGCAGGGAGACGATCCTGGCTGTAATATAAGGTAAGCATCCATCGGTAGCCTTGACATAGGTTGGCTAGCTTACGACTCCAGGGAATTAGCAGGGACTGAAGTGCCAAAACGCTTGCATTTACCAAAGGGAGAAGAAGGAGCAATGGTGGTCATCGGCTGCAAGATAGAGTGAGTACTCAATTTATTTGGATAATACAATAATGTTTACTTACCATGATTGTGCGGTCAAGCCTGATCCAGTCCATGCAAGTCCATTCGCCAAACCAGCCAGTGTTATCAAATCGGACACAGAACGTTACCATGATGTACACTATGTCGCCGCGGCGGATATTGTTGTTGCCCTTGAATGTTGATTCCATGAATTGGTCAGCACCTTGGAGGCGAAGCAAGGACGGAGCTCCAGCTCGGGGTGGGACTTGGGCCTCCTGAACCCATGGATGCGGAGTAGGCTCATCGGGTGATGGTTCGATGGGGTGGGCAGCAGCCGTGAGTACGAACAGCTCATGTGAGAACCAGTATCAATTGCTGTCCTTACTAGGGTCCTGCCAGGCTTTGCGCTCGAGGTTGTTCTCATGGATGTGATTGGTAACAGGGCCCTTGTTGCCATACACAAAGCTCTCGATAATCTGTTGGTTTGGTTTGGTCAAAATCATGCTGAAGATGGCAGGAAGATGGCAAGGTCGTACACAATATTTGTTTATGAGGTCAGGGTTTGAACCTGGGACTGCCTCAGGCTTACATGCACTTTGGTAGGACATCATCAGGTATAGTTTTTCCCAATGGTACATACATCCCAGAACGGGATGCAGCAGCTTCAATCACATGACCTGCAAAGCTCAGGACCACTGGATTGCCTTTGTCACCAGCTTTGTTGTCCTCAATATGGACAAGCTGAGTGACATATCAGAGCCCATTTATGCAAGCTGAAAGCGGGAGAATGGACGTACACAGGCACATTTGGCATCCAATACATGTTCAACCCTAGCAATGGGTTTTGTGACACCTCAGTCACCCACTTGGAGTGACTATATTGGGTGGAATTTGCCTGTCACTAATTCCATCTAACATGGTACTAAAACCATGGTCCTGATCATTTTGGCCATCCATAATGGAAACTCCAGTCTATATGCCATATGGTTCTTCCATCACCTGGCCTGGTATCCACCATTTGCATGCTGTAAATGCTCATAATGGTGTGATGTGTATCCTGGGCATGTTGCAATGTACATGGCTGTTCATCAAGGCCAGCAGGCCCATTTTCCAGGCCCATTTGCACCCTCCCTGCTGCATTGGCCAAAAACTGCTGGTAGGAATGTGCAATAGTATGTAGCCCTTGTCAGGAAATTGGGATAAGCTATCTACCTACCTGTAAGCCGTATGGGCGGAAAATCAGTACCAACAAATGGAGCTACCAGCTGGTAGCTCCAGGGTGCCGAGGGGTCTCC